CCCCCCTCTGTGACAGGACAGCCACGCCTCGCCCCGCCCCTCTCTGTCAGGACAGCCACGCCTTGCCCCCCTCCCATTCTAACCTTTTGCCATAGGGATTCAGCTCACCTGACTTAAACCCACCAAGCCAACTCACTCTCCGCTTTGCCCAGATTTTCTCTGTCTCCTCCCGAAACAAAACTGGCTCCCATGGGCAATTGGACAACCTCTATTCCTGAAAAATGGTCCAGAAGACCCACTACCTCTCCACATCCAACCCTGGGCTCCTGGGCCACAGCGCCCATCCCTGCAGCCTGTCAGCGGCCGTGCGGGCCAGCGCCTGGGTCACACTGACAGCCCGGGGGCAGAGCCAGTGCGCAAGCCCGGGACGGGGTTAGAGGTCACAGTCTGTCCATCCATCTCTCTACAACACACTGGCCGCGATGATCAACTCGTGAGCACCTCAGCTCCGGACTGGAGAGAACCTGACTGCCACACGATGTTCTCCTGTACGACAGGAGCAGAAGCAGAAGAAAAAAGATGTGTATTGCAGTGTGTGTGTGTGTGTATGCGATAAGATGTGATACATAGTGAGCACAAGAGCCCACAGACAGGGCCGTGAAATTCCGTTTGTAAGGTACAGGGCTGTGAGAGAGAGGGGTGAACGCATGGCAGGGAACAAGTATGCACGTGTCTGTGTGTGAGTGTGTGTATATGTGAGTGTGTTTCTCTGTGTGTTGTCCGAGCGAAGCGGATTTCCGTCGGGCGCTGGGGGGATCGCTCACAGGCCCGGCGTGTAATCTGTTCCCATTCCGTTGACTCCCGGAAATCTCACTCCGCATCCCGCCCGGCCCTTGCTCTCCCTGCTGACGGAAGCGCGCGCCCTGTCGCGGGATCTGGGCTCTGCGCCCCGGCCGAGCCACAGGGACTGCCGCTGTGAGGCACGTTCCGAGCCGGGAGTCACGAGCCCCCCGGACCTCGCGGCCTGGGTGGAGGATGGGCAAGGGTGCAGGGCTCCTGGACCCACGTGACCTCTGACCCATCGGCTCCCCTCTTCCCTTCCTGCCCAGGGAGGAAGTGTTCTGGCTTGCCGTCTCCTCTCGCTGTCTTTAGGGATCAGGATTGTGCCCCCAGCGCCGAGACTTCTGAACCAGAGCTGTGGCAGATGCCCAAGGGGAGGGAGAGGCCGGAGGCTTGGGCTGCCCGGTCTCGCCTCAGCTCCAGCTCCCTGCGGCGAGCACCAGCTCCTCCGCTGTTTTCAACACGGAGCCCACCCTGGCTGCCCAGCACTGTTCCCAGAATGCACCAGGCTGTGACAATCCCCCCCCCGCACCACCACCACCACCACCACCACTACCGTCAGACAGAACGGGCAAACGGAAAGACCCAGAAACGGCAGGCAGCGCTCGCATGCCAGCCTCCTCTTCACCCCCCGCAGGGCGCACCGTGGGCAGTGGCGCATTGCTGCAGAGCCGTCCCAGAGTGCCCGGGGGCGACACTAAGGAGTGGGCACAGCTCACTCAGCGTGGCTCACTCCGCCCGGAACCAGCGCCTCCCGCTCAGATTGCCTGGCTGGGCTCCGGACACAACACTGGAACACTGACAGGG